TCTCTCTCTCTCCCTCTCTCTCTCTCTCTCTCTCTCTCTCTCTCTCTCTCTCTGTCTCTCTGTCTCTCTCTCTCTCTCTCTCTCTCTCTCTCTCTCTCTCATCTGGATGTTATTTTAAACAGGGCATCCATGAGTTCTCCATATCCAGCTGGCCCTCCAAGTTACACACTTCAATCAGCTGAATTGGGAGAAGTGAGTTAAAGGAGCCATCTGTTTAAACAGCTTTTCCTTTCCTCAAGCAGATTCCTGAACCAGAATTAGGAATAATGTGCCTTGCTTTTCTATCCTCCTTTCTTTGCACCTCTCACTGTGTAATGTAATAGTCCCACCCCAAGTCACACACTGGACTCATGCCTTCTGGGGCAGGGCTGTAGGTTTCTTGATCACACTTCTGTTGTTGCTCAAAGCAGTGTAGATGCATTTTCAAATAAAACAGATGATTGCATACAAGAATGAGTTGGATGTTTGGTTGGCAGTCTCCACTGAGTCTGGGTCACAGTGCAGAACATGTCCTGTTGAGATTATAATTCAGGTGGACCTGTGCCTGTTGACTTGGCGAATTACCCACGGTCATAGGAAGTTCATCCACAGGAAAGAAATGCAGCTATACCTGACACCTAGGTCTGCCAAAGTGGAGAGTCAAAGGCCAAGAAAAGAGAGGTGGAGAAGGAGTAGCATCAAGAGACAATTTTTGCCCTCTCTGGTTCCAAAGACTAGCACTATGGAGAGGAGGCAAGTAAAGGAGCAGTTTCATCTTGCTACTTTGCTTTCTTGGCTTCAAGGGTCTAGGGATTAGGTATCCCAAGAACAGGAGGGAAGAACCCCTGGGAGGGACCCCAACTTCCCACAGGCCTGGGCAGCAGCATCCCACTGTTGAGGGATGCCTCCACTCCTTGCCTGTCCTGCTCCTGCCTTGCTGGGGAAGAGAGGACCCTGCAGGCACCATTTGCTCCTCCAGACCCCCAGGGTGCAGGGGGCTTCCATTGTCACACTCTGTGTTCCCTTGGTGGGTACTGACCCCACTTGTAAAGATTGGGTGCTAAGATGAGTTAGCATCATTCCTCCCTCTGAATATAGTATCCTTTGTTGGAAATGCCTAGAACCAGAAATGTTCAAATTTAACACTATTCAGATTTGGGGATGTTTATAAGAGTTTGCCAGTCCAGCGTCTCTGATCCAAAAATCCCAAATGCTCATAACCCAAAATTGAACAACATACCAGCTCTCAAAGAGTTTTGCATTTTGGTGCATTTCAAATTTAAAGTTTTTGGACCTGGAATGCCCAGCCTTATACTGAAGTTTTGTTAGAGCAGGACTATATAAAATTTGCCATACATCAGGGAATCTGGAAAAGATGGGATTTCCATCCATTTATTGCTTCTATTCAGCTGTAACTCTTTGGACAAGTCATTGAACTTCTGGATCCTAAGAACTTCCTTGAGATTGATCAGAAGACCTCCTTATTCTAGCAGAAAACTGACTATGCCTACCTAGTGGCACAGCCTGGGAGGGAAGGGTCCTCTGCTACACATTTACATTCTGCTCTGTGCCACCCCAGGAAATGATCAGGAACTGATGTGGCTGCAGGGGGTAATTCTGCATACAAGGAGACAACCCTCCAGACCACCCCTGCCTCCACCGGGGATATCTGGGGAGCAGGCAGTGCTGAAGTCCTTTGCACTCTCTGAAAGCCTTTTTAACCTCCGTCTTCTTTCAACCAGAGAACAAATTGAAAACCAGAGCTTAGTTCTGCTTCATGCATCCTTTCTGTAGATCAACTTTTAAAGGACAGGGAAAGAAGTAACTTAATCCTTTGCTGACACCATCTTCATTTCGGTCTGAATTTATCTCATGTTCAGGGCATGGAGATGTTTCTGATAAAAACATGCATGGGGAGTGACACCTGTTCTGAAGTTAAACCTTTCCATATTACTAGGTAAACATCTAGAGAAACACGAGGGAAGAATTTTCCTGAAATGTAGGTGAGTCTTAACAACATTCTTGGAAATACAGTCATACACCTGTGGCCTGTGTTGGAGTTCCTGAAATGTGTTTCTCTTTGTCCTTCCTGGGCTTAAAATCAAGTTAGATTATATAGCAGATTGTCAGTTTTTAAATTAATAAATGTAAACAACGTGACGCGGCTGCAGGTCAACAAGGCAGAATAAAATTAAACTCTCGTAGCTCGAGAATGAAGAATGGCCCACTGGTGTTTTGGCCCATGGTCCTGGGTGGAATTATATATATATATGCCTAGTACAGGTGACGTGCTGTAATGTGCTCCCTGAAAGTTGTAGCCCAGCACCTTTGCTCTCTGATAATTGCAGTAGACCCCTAGGTATTTAAAAAAAAAAAAAGCTCTGTGTGTTATATTTCTGCAGCTCAGGGCTCCAGGCCATAGCACAGACCATCCTGTGCATGGTCCTGAGAATTGCTCCCCCTTCCATTCTTTTCTACCCCAGCTCTTTCACTGCTCCTCTTCTCACTGGTACAAATCTTTAAGGAAATAATCACGTGCCAGTCTCAGGGGAAAGCCAGCAAATGGTTCCATGGCTACTATCTGGATGCTCCTGAAATAACAGAAAGATCTGAAATATGCGCTTGAATAACCCAAGCCATCTACAGTGCCATGTGTAACCTCAGGCAGATGCAGGATGTTCTGGCCAAAGGGAAAGCTTGTACCTTGACTTTATTACCCACCCACACCCTTCTGTGGAGCACCTGCGTGTCATGCTGAAGCTGTGGGTGGCACAGATCTGGCTGGAAGGTGATATTTATCTAGCAAGACCCAGAAACAATACTAACTTGAGTGGATGAGATGTTTGGGGCTGCTGATGGGCTTTCATGGGACAAATCATCTCTTAATTTACTCATCCACTCATTCCGCAGACATTTAGTGCCAGGCCTGTTCTGGGCTCCAATGAGAGCTACAGAAAGCTGCACGATGTAACATGGGAGATGGAATGCAAAACCGGTAGTCAAACATGGAGCATGTGGAACATTAGAGAAAGGTAGCTTTGAAGAGAAAGTCTGAAGAGTAAGGAACTGCAGGGCTAAGAGGAACTACAGCATCCAATCTGGTGATTGGAGAAGGCTCCACTGAGACATAAATACATTCATTTTGTGTGTGTGTGTCCTGGAGATTGAGCCTGGGGCTTCAAACATACTAGGAAAGCACTGTACTGCTAAGCTATATACTCAGCCTTTTTATTTTTGGTTTTGAGACAGCCTTATTAAAGTTGCCCAGGCTGCTACTGAACTCGTGATCCTCCAGCCTAAGCCTCCTCAGTAGCTGAGGTCACAGGCATGTACCACCACACCAGGCTTGAGCAATATTCTTGACGGGTGAGGCAATAAGCCAAATGAGTTTGTGGACAAAGCATTCCTGGAAATAGGCACATCAAAGACTCAAGGAGAACCACTGGCAGGTTTTAAGGAGCTTAGAAGGATTGAGATGGCTGCAGCTGAGTGAGCACCGAGGAGGCTGGTAGAATATGCAGTTGTGAGGAGGTGTTGAGCAGAGGAATGCCATGATCTTACTCACATTTCAAGAAAATCCCTCTTGGCCTAACTATTGGGAGGCTGGACAAGAGGAGTGTTTGTGCCCCAGGAGTTCAAGGCCAGCCTTGATAGCATAACAAGACTCCCATCTCAGAAAATATTCCTCTTATGGTCAGGAACTAGCCAGTTAAAAGTTCAGTGTGATCATTCAGTGAGGTGACAGAGGTTTAGACCTGGATGACAGCAGTGGACAGGAAAGAGGTGGTCTGATTCTCATGATATTTTAAATAGTCAGAAGTATCTGATGGATTGGATGTGGGATATGAGAATGACAAAGGAAAAAAGATGATGCCAAGGACCTCAACCTGAGCACCTAGGAGGATGGGGTCACCATCAGTCACTAGGGGAAGGCTATGGATGCTGCAAGTTGGAGAGGGCAAAGTAGGAGTTTGCATGGAGCAGGTAGAACCAGAGATGTCGCGCCGGGAAGAATGGGCAAGCAGGCAGCTGGGCATGTGAGTCTGGAGCCTAAGTTAGAGATCTGGCTGAAGACATAATTTGGAGTTGTCCGAACCTCACCACCAAGATAGTGATGAGCCCATGTACACATCAGCATAAATGAGCAAGGCCATATTCCTGAGCTCTCATGTTATTCAAGAAGAAGAGCCAGAGATCTGCCAGGGGATCAACAAAGGGGTCATCCACCATAGCCCACATGCCATGTCCTTCCTTTCTCTCCGAAACCCTCTTAACAACCTGCTAACTAGTATCCCTGCCACCCAAGTAGCTTAATACTGAGATGAGAGTACACGTGAAACCCCAAACCTGGAAAAGAGCATTTGTTGAAAATTATGAGCCTAGTGTTTAAGGGAGAACTTTATACCTGCAGACCAGATCTTGAACACCAATCACACTGAGTTACCCTTGCTGTATTGTGATCCAACTTTCCTCACTAGCTGTACTTATCTCTTCAGTCTCAAACTGGAATGGTGCTTATGTGGCTTACCATTTGAGCTTCCCTTGAGTTGCTTCCACCAAGGGTCCAGATGATCTCCCACTTGTCATTTCCAATGGCTTCTTCTTGGTCTTGCCTGTGTTGATCATTTAAAGCAATGGTCCCTATTGACCTCATCTGCCTCAAGTGCACATTATGATACTATGCTGGCTGCCCTTTCTGGCTCTCTGCCTGCTGCTCCACTAGCTCTTATCTTCTTTTTTTGCCAGCATACAGAAGTCTCACTCTACGCTTCTCCATAGGTTCTCCTTTGGAGAGCTTGTCTGCTCTCACAGCTCCAAGTAGCATAAGTTCCAGACAAGCAAGAGTCTGCTTGGTCCCTGACTACATCCTTGATCAAAATCTCATCATCATTGCAAATTAAATGCCCATCCCCCTCCAATCTAACCTGCATTCCTCCAGTAGGATCTTCCTAAAACTTCTTTTTAC